ATGCGGTGCCGTGGTGCCCCATCCAGTGCCATGCAGTGCTGTGGTGGCCTGTGCAGTGCTATGACATGCCGTGGTGGCCCGTGCGGCGCCATGCAGTGCTGCGGTGGCCCATCCAGTGCCACACAGTACTGTGGTGGCCCGTGTGGTGCCGCGGTGACCCATGCGGTGCCATGTAGTGCCGTTGGTGGGCCATGCAATGCCATGCGTTGCCAAGGTGGCCTGTGCAGTGTCGTGGTGGCCGGTGGGTGGTGTGGTGGCCCAGCTTCCAGCCCCATCTAGTGGCAGCTGTGCCCAGTCCCAAGCTCTCCCGTTTGTTCGCAGGCACATCCCAGTGGTCTCGAGCGAGCGGACAGGGTGCCTTATCTCCCAGCTACGAAGGGAGCCTCCACACCTTAGTAAGTGCTGCCGAAAGATCGGCCTTCTGCTTTCCTCCTCCACCCCTTGTGCGCCTGGCGTCCAAGGGCTTTCGGGGAACGTCCTCTCTCCCAAACGTCTGAAGGAAGGTGGTCAGCTGGTAGATGGGTGTTTGGGTGGAAGGAGCTGAGCAGAGCTGGGCACTGCTTCCCTCAGCCCAGAGCCCGGCTGGCAGAGGTGCAGCCTTGTACCCTCCCCCTCTTCAGGGTCCAGTCAAATCCCAGTGGGTCTGACCTGGCCAAACAGAGTTCTGGTGGGTTTCTGCCTCCCTTTCCCGAGCGGTTCTGCTTGTGTGACCCTGCTTGCCTTTAGGGTCCAGCACTGACTGGGCTGTGGGTGGGGGGGGGGTGTTATTGCTCCCCGTACCCACGCTGCGGGAGCTGAGTGCGCGGTTGCCGCCAGCCGCTCCGTAGTGCAGAGCGCTGCAGCGGGCTGCTGGCTTTCCAGGCGTTAATGCAGACCTATTTCTCTGTCCTCTCCTTCAAGCAAAACAAAATGGAAGACAGGTTGGATGAAGCCATCCATGTGCTGAGGAATCACGCCGTGGGCCAGACAGCCACCATGCCGAGCAACCATGGGGACATGCACGGGCTCCTGAGCTCGGCACCGGCCCACAGTGCCACTGTGGGCAGCCTGGGCCAGGCCTTCCCTGCCTCGGTCATGTCCCTGGGGACCAGGCACCCAAGTCTGGTGAGTGCAGGAGCATCACAGCAGCTGGCAGGGATGGACCCACATTGTGGTGTCCCCTGGATCCAGAGGGACGTCTTTGGTGGGAGAACAGCTCGGTGGGGTCCAGCTTGGGTCAGCTGTTGGCAGCTTTGAACCAGTAACGTGCTCAGAAGCGCTGTGGCTGCTGTGGTCGTGCAGGGGGTGAATCTGTGCTCAGCACAGTGCTGGCTCTCGGGCACAAGCAGTTCGCTCATGCCCCTTCTCAGGGCAGGCAGCGGTGGTGAAAGCTCTTCTTCCCCTGCAATATGGATAGAAATCCCTCGACACAGCTGGAAGCTGTCCCTGGGAGAAGGAAGAGAGGGCCCCGGTGCAGAGCAAGACTGTGGGTATAGAGACTGGAGTATCTCCAGGACTTCTCTGCTGTTGGGGCAGGCAGTGTATCGTGTGCGTGCAGGGAGTGCTGACGTGTGATGGCTCATTCAGGCTCCAGGGAGCGTGACGGGTCCCGGGTGCCCTGAGCATGTGGACACTGGGGTCACCAGGGTCCCCGCCTTGTCCAGAGGCTGGTGACCCCAGGAGCATGTTTTTGGCAGAGCTTGTAGCCTGCTGCAGCAAACAGTAACGCGTCTCCAGTATCTAGAGGACCAGAGCTGTTTGCCCTTCCAAGCTCCTGGGACTCTGTGGCTGAGCAGCGAATCGTAAGTGTGTCCTCTGCTGCAAACTGCTGCCAGCTGCAGGAACAGGAGCCCTGGCAGCAGGGCTGGCTCTGTCCTGCTGGGCCCTGGCTGATGTAGGGCAGCCTTGGTGGGAGCGGGCTCAGAAGGCTGCCTGACCTTTGGGTCCAGGTCCTTCAGTGCGAGGTTCATGCTGCTGGAATGTCCCCTGCTCTCATGGCACTGGGGAGGTGGCAGAAACGTTGGTTTGTCGGAGACAGGACATGTGCACCCCGGGCAGGGTGTCCTCTCCAGTGTGCCAGCCTTTCATCCAGGCAGAGAGGGGCTTTTCCATGGTGGGGGGAGACAGCACTGAGTGGGCTTTCTGCTTGGTCCAGCTGATGTGCAGGACACAGAGCTGCTTTCTGCAGTGCCATGGCCTGGGGGGAGAGCTGGTGCTGGGGCAGGTTGGCTCTTCCCTCCTGCATGCCTGCGCTCTGGGTGGTAGGAGTGTGTGAAGGGGGGATCCGGCTGCACCTCAGCCTCGTCTAGGGAGCCCTGCAGCTGTGCTCAGGGTGACTGTGCCCATGCCTGCTGGCCCCAACACTTCCCCCCTCAAGGCTTGCTCTGCTTGTTCTGCTGTAGGTGGGAGGAGGTCACCCTGAAGACGGGCTGTCCAGCAACCCCAGCATGCTTCACAACCACGTCACCCTTCCGTCACAGCCCAGCTCACTCCCTGACCTCAACAGGCAGCAGGACACATACAGCGGTAAGGCAGCTCTGCATGTGTGCACGCTGTAGGCTCGCCTGCCGCGGGGGCGATTCGGGTCACCCCTTGGGTCCAGCCCTGTGCAGCAGCAGCCCGGGGGAGCTGGGTGCTCTTGCAAGGCCGCTGCTTCCTCGCAGCATCCGCAGGACAGGTTCTACCTTGAGCCTTTTCCAGAGGTTTGACAGACATGTTCCTGTCCCTCCTGGCAGCTGAGGGTGCACAGAGCCCCCAGGCCCTGCTCTGCTGGGGGGTTTAGGCTCTGACTCTGAAGGGTCTGGGAATGGGGGAGAAGGATGGGGAGTGGTGGCAGGGCAGAGCCAGCACCAGTCCAGCTCCTCTTGCTATGGACCAGCAATGCAGGATGAGTCTGAGATGCCACATGCTGGCGATGCAGTGCAGCAGGAGCAAGACCTGGGGATGCCCAGCCCTCTGTGCGGATTGGGCCCTTTCAACCTCTGTGTGTGGCTCTGCTTCCTCAGCAGGCTTGTCGGGAGGGCTGGGGCGAAGCAGTGTCTCCTCGGGAACCAGCGAAATAAAGAGGGAAGAGAAGGAGGACGAGGAGAACACGTCAGTGGCAGACAACTCGGAAGAGGAGAAGAAGGAGCTGAAACCCTCGCGGAACAGAACAAGGTGCTCTTTGAACAGGTCTCTTCCTTCAGTTAATCTGTTGCCAGGCTGGGAGCATTTCAGCTGGGGTACAGCTGCGGTGACCCACTGGGTGCCCGGTGGGACCAGGGGTCACCCTGTGGCACAGACCCGCCAGCCCCTGCCCAAGGTGGGAGCCTTCTCTGTCCTGGCACAGAGGTGGCACAGCCCGGGTTCCTGCTGCGTCCCCATGGCTGGCCACTTTGGGCCACGCTGGGGAAGGGTCCCTGCTGCCCTCCCGCTGGCTCCCATCCCCCTGGCCACAGGGCTTCCTCGTGCTCCTAAAGCAGAGGGCTCGCACTTCGTCCACATGAGCTGCCCCCGCCTGCGTGGTCACTTGGGACGTTGCGTGTGGTCGTGCGTGGAAAGGACAGAGCACTCAGCTCCCTTGGGCAGGTGCAGGAAAGGTTTTTACCTCCTCCCTGCTTCAGGTTGTCTCCACTGTCTGCTTTGGGCTCCTGTATCCTCTGTCACCAGCCAGATCCGTGGCAGTGGATCAGGTAGAGTCCTTCCAGCACGCTGGCTTGTCTGCAACCTCGCCGTCGGCTTGGAGACCTCACCAGGGTGATGCTGCCTGGAGGGGCAGTGCCAGCCCCACTCCTGCCAGACTGCAGCCACCTCCTGCCCTGGAGGCAGAGGGCTGCATCTTCCCAAAACGCCAGTGGGACACCAGTGTTGGCCCCCACACCTCTGGGCCACCCTGCAACCTCCTGGTGACAAGCTCAGGCCTTAATCACATTGTTGTGGTTTCTTGCGTTGTTGTTTAAAAACAAAAAAAGGCAAAAGAAGAGCATTAATTGCTTCTCTTCAAAGTCACTGCGTGTCCCCGTGTCTGAGCGCGGGGCACCAGGCAGGCACGTCCCGCGGGGGCACGCGGGGCGCAGTGCCATGGCTTGCGAGTCTGGGCATCTCGGTGCCTCGACATGTGTTTCTTTTCTGTGAGTTGACCAGTGCTGAGAGTGCACGCGAGGAATGTCCCTGTCTCGTTCTTATTTTAAACCATTAGTCAAGATGAGGATGAGGAGGACGATCTTCTTCCCCCAGAGCAAAAAGCCGAGAGAGAGAGAGAAAGGAGGGTCGCCAATAATGCCCGTGAGCGCCTGCGGGTCCGCGACATCAACGAGGCCTTTAAAGAGCTCGGACGCATGTGCCAACTCCACCTAAACAGCGAAAAACCGCAGACCAAACTGCTAATCCTACACCAGGCCGTATCAGTCATACTGAACCTGGAGCAACAAGTTAGAGGTCAGTGAGGGTCCCGGAGTGGTGATATTTTACGTATCTGATCGGCACGGGGCTGTCTGTCTGTCTGTCTCCTGTGACATGTGCTGTGGTGCCTCGCACTGTCTCTCTCCCTTGTGGCCTTGGGTTCCCAAGGCTGTTGATGTCCTTTTTTTTTTTTTTCTTTTTTTGTTTGCCCCCTCCCTTTTTTTGCATCCCTGCTGTTCTCTCCTTTGTTCCCCACTGCCGCTGCGTGTGCTGCATGCCGGTCCCCGGGGGCACCTGCGCCGCCCTCTCTTTCCTGCAGCCGGGTGTTGCTCAGCTCCTTGGCCAGCAAAATTTAAAACAAACAAACAAACAAACCAAAAACCAGCAAATCTCCCAGAGGGGTGGGGGTGGGGGCCAGATCT